TGCAAGCTGATTATTTGCCATAGTCAAAAAGGGGGAATTTGTTAATCTTGTGATTTTGAATATGGCAAAATTGAGTTGAACAGGTAGTGCAACATGTTCCTGTGAAATATTGCAGCAGGTATGCAAGTGGCGGCGTACGTGTTATATATGGAAACTTATATGTACGTTTTTGTTTATAGTAGTTTACTTGGTTAAGGAAAACTATTAAAAACAAATTTGAGTACAATAAAGTGTCGAGAAAAAGAGTTAGTAGAAGTCAACAAGGATTTGTAGAAGACAAATACAAAGTTGATTTGTACAAGGATTGGCTGAATTTTTTCTGGTCTATAAATAGAGAGCTATTTTGATCAGAAAAACTTGCGCACCTACAAAGAGAGAACTTCAAAACACGATAAAGAGGGTTGAGAGAGTTTTGTTAAAATCTTTTGAGTGCTGCGAGTTGAGTGTTAAAGTTGTACGATTGTATTCAAGACTTTGTTTACAATTTAGGTAGTAGATTTGCTTGACAAGTTAGAGTACTTGAAAAGCATTGAAAAGATAGAAAACTAGGGAGTAGTTTTTTGTTTTGATTAGAAGGAGTGAGAGTTTATAATTCCTTAAGAGCTAAAGAGTTGTATTCTTTGTATTACTTGAAATTTACAATTAATACAAAGTGCTGTTCAACACAAACAAGTAGTAAATACGTGTTCCTTTGAAGGATTCAGGAGGGTAGAATTCCAACAACAACCTATAATTACAAACTAAAACTAAAATCAAATAGTCCAACAATACTAAAACTAAAACAAATAGCTAAGATTGTGAACGCTTACTTTAGTCTTTAGGCTATGGGTTTTGAGTAAACAATAATGACTAGTAAAACGGTCTGCTGCAAAGTGTGTGGAGTATTAGTAATTTGATATATATAGTAAATTATTAATATTTAATATTTAGAATGGGTAAAGTAGTAAAATATTACTGTCATATTGGGTTATCAATTTATCCGATAATCCATTAGTAAAAATCAAAACCGAACCAATAACCCAATAATTTTTTTTTATAAATCCAATAACCCGGTAACCCTATGAATTTAGTAATAGAGGTACTACTAGTGTTACTACTCTTGATGACCTAGTAACTCCTCTGAATGGGAAATCCAAATCATCTAGGTAGCTGCTTTGGTATATGAACGTTCTGTAACGACTAAGGATCCAGTGTTTGATTCAATGTCATATAAAACAGCAATTCCTGACTTTCATGATCCTAACACTAGTGTCCTTGATGCAGTGCGATCTGCACTTGTAATTGCTAAGGTGACAGACAAAAGCATATGCGGAAATGACAGTTTGCATCCTGAAGTAACCATCCAGTTACTTCATGAATGTTCCCACAATATTAAGGTAAGGTCAATTGCACCTCGATTATCACTTCTAGATCCTTTTGATGGTCTAGAAGTTTGTAGGCCTAATGAACATCTCGAACAAGATATGTCAACGAGGTATGTACGTGTTAACTCTATCGCTAGTGTCTCTCCTAAATGGAAAACTGATTTGGAGACCTTTGTAGACTGGTATCTTGCTGAATCTTTTTATGGAACCTGTGGATAATGAAAATCTATATCTTAATATCTTGACAAGTTCAATGCATTCTGTCAAAATATTTTCCAACACTGAAAATGGAAAATCCACTAGGACATTCAATGGCCAAAATATTTTGAGTCAATTTTTATTGGTTCCTGCTGCTGATATCTTTCTTATAACCATTCCGGTAATCGCAAAAGAACCTGGTGTATCGGATCCTGGAACATGTTTAGAGTTCTTGGCTCTAACAGATTTTACAGAGAACATAGAGGAATTGTTTTTGTTGGGCTGTACTGACATGTTTTTCTTTAATGCAGATTCAAACTCTATGAACCGAGTGTGGGATCCCAGACAATCATTGTGTGTGCATTGCTACTTCAATCGCATATGAACTAGTCGTCGATGATTTTGATATTGTACGAAATTTATTTACAATAATAATATATTTACAGTCACATATATATAGTTATTTATGTATTTGTTAATACATATACAAAACCTAGGCTACTGATTTCTACATTGAATATGTGATATGTGTCAAAAATATTGAACTTAGTTGGAGGCATCAATTATAAGCTGCCTATGGTGCACCTAATGGATGTTAACCAGAAAAATATTAATATTAAAGCTTGAAAAGAACTCTAAAGTGATCGCCTTCTATTTTGACATTTTGTAGATTTTGTGAGTGTTACCAAGTTACTAGGTACACACCAAAATGAAGATTTGGTAAAAACTAAAAAAGTGAATACTTATTCTCTCTTAATATAAATAAAATCAGTTAATTCTTATGAGATTGCCAGCATAATTTATATGCTTGTGACAGGTTCAGACTGCAACGGGAGTGTGTGGGGGGGGGGGAGGTAGGGGGTAGGGGGATTGGTAGGGGTTGGGTGAATTTTTTATATTTTTTTTAATTATTTATTTTTATATTTTTTAGGAAGGTGGTGGTGGTGGTGGTGGTGGAGAGGGGGGGGGGTTGTAGGGGTGGAGTAAAGTGGTAATTTTTTTTAAAAAGCTTTTAAGAAGATCTCTAATATATTATGGGTAATATGGTTATCCATATTATCCATTGGGTAACTTGTTTTACCCATTTAAAATATGAGTCGAGTCGAGTAATTTACTCATTTTTATTTAACTAGTTTTTTGATCGACTCAACTCGTGTACCACATTGAGACTACAATGTAATTTAGGTCATCTACATAGACTTTTGAAGTATAAGCTAATTAGTTTGATGAGAAATTTAACTACTAACAAACAAAATCCTACGAGTCTTTGTTGCATGCCTTCTTAAAAACCCAATCTACATCCACTCTTATATATACACATTATCGTTTAATCTTCTAAGATTTGCAGAAAAATGGCTCAGCATTACCACTTATCTTCTCTTTGTTACTTGTATTTCTCAATTTATTATTCATTTATGGCGGCATAACTCGAACAACTGCACGAATCCCAGAACTCCCCAAACTGCCAGAACCACCTATGCCAAAACATGAAATCTCAGAATTACCAAAGCAAAAAGCCCCCGAGCTTCCCAAGCTAAAAGTCCCAACAATTCCAAAACCAGAAATTTCAAAGCAAGAAGTACCAAAAATGCCAAAGCGTTAAATCCCAAAATTACCAAAGCCAAAAGTCCCACAATATCCGAAGTCTGAAGTACGAACCATCCCTAAGCCTGAAATCTCAGAACTGCCAAAGCCAAAAGTCTCTGAGCTTCAAAAGCTAAAAGTTCTAACAATGACAAAGCCTGAAGTTTCAGAACTGCCGCTACTCCTTGAGTAAATTATATGCTACTTTCACTCTACAAGAAAATACACAACTAATGTTTTGAGATTTCAATCTCAGTCTATGAAATTTGCCACCTGAGTTGTGTCATGGAGATACCTTCTGCTACGAGTAGAAATTTTAATTCTTTTATCGTAGTTTTTGAATTGGATGTACCGAGTTTGTCATGTTATTATATTATATGAGTCTTATATGTATTTCTATATATACAGTATAATAAATCTTTGATATATGTTACTTTGGTTTAGTTTCTATCTCTGTTTGTCCATTCTTTCCCCCTCAGTTTTTCCTTTCTAATTTATAGAAACCAATTTCTTCTGTTACATTTCAAGAGTACGGAATAAAGGATGAATTAGTGTATTAATTAAGTGCTTTTTGTTTTATTCATCTAACGAACATTAAATGGATTCAATTTCCTCTGCTTTACATTCTCCAAAATAATGATAAGGACCACTTATGCTTCATGCATGATCAGTTAGCTGGTGCACCTACACAAGCCGCTTTCTACAGATGCCATTGTGAGATCCCTACACAAGAATCCCCCAATATTCCAGCCTTACCAAAGCCTGAAATACCAATACCTTAAGTATTAACTGTACCAAACTTAAAATTTCAGCATTCAAAAGCTATATGTATACGTGGCGTAAGCAAAGAGTTTTGTAAGTGTGTTGATATTTCAAGGAACAAATATTGTAGCAACATTATATTAAAAAAGGTTAGTTTATTACTATAATTTTCGTTGGAATTCTCATTTTTAAAAAATTTATTCATAAGAGTATACATATATGTTTTAATCATAATAGTCTCGTTAGAAGTAATTGCATAAGGTAAAAACACCAAACGACCACTTAAGAACTCATTAGTCATTTGATTTCACAAATCAATCTCAATTAACTTCATCACCGAATAAGCAATACGCCAATTAGTCTCAAGCAATTGGAGCGAGTAGTTTTCAAAATTAGGATTTTATATGTGCTGAAATCACTGAATTCGCAGTAGTGTTTATAGTTATTTATTGTTATTTTCATACACAAAAATTGATGTGTTCAAGCAGTAAAACTCAAAAAATAAAAATAAATGAAAGATAGCAATACTGGGTAACTGTCGAAGATCGCAATAATGAATTTAAAATATTTTATTTTTATATTTAAATTTCAGCAACAAAAATGTTGAAAATGTGGTTTAAACTTCTTCTCCACATGTAGTTGGACAAAATCTTCACAATCATGAATTATTTCAAATTGGTTTGAAACCGCTTGAAATACTAACTACATCAAAGCCTGAAATCCAAGAACTACCAAAGCCAAAAGGTACTAACTATGCCAAACGTGAAATTCCAGAACTGCCAAAGTCAACAATCTCAGAACTTCCAAAGCCAGAAGTACTGCAAAATCTTGAAGTCCGAGAACTACCAAAGCCAAAAGCCCAAGAGATTCCAAAGCTAAAAGTCTCAACAACGCCAAAACCTGAAATCCCAGAACTACCAAAGCCAAAAGTCTTAGAACTTCCAAAGCCAGAAGTACTACCAAAGCTTGAAGTCCGAGAACTACCAAAGCCAAACGCCAAGAGCTCAAGAGCTTCCAAAGGTAAAAGTCTCAACAATGCCAAATCCTGAAATCCCGAAACTACCAAAGCCAAAAGTCTCAGAATTATCAACTATGCCAAAGCTAGAAATCCCAGAATTATCAAAGCCAAAAGTCCCCGAGCTTAAAAAGCCAAAAGTCTCAACTATGCCAAAATCTGAAATTCCAGAACTACCAAAGCCAAAAGTCCCTGAACATCCAAAGCTAGAAGTACCAACTATTTCAAACAATGAAATTTCAGAACTACCAAAGCCAAAAGTCCCCAAGTTTCCAAAGCTAAAAGTCCCAACTATGCCAAAGCCTGAAATTTCAGAACTGCCTAAACCAACTCTTCCTTCATTCTCTCCACCTTACAAACCTGGATTTCACCTTATCACTTTTACTCCATTAGAAGGTAACCTACTTATGTTTTGTTATTTTCACCTCATTATATGATGTTCGCGACCTGAGTCAAGGCATGGAGATAGTATTAGATACTATCTGCTAAGAGTAGAAATTGTAATTCTTTTATAGAATTTGAATTGGATGTACCATGTTTGACGTGTCATTACTCTATATAAGTGTTTTATATGAACTTCGTTATAAATAAGCTATGATCTATGTTATTTTGATTTACTTTGTATCATTGGCAAGTTTTGTTTTTGCTCAATCCTTATTTGTACACTCTTTTCCTCTCTGTATTTTCTTTTCAAATTTATAGTAGCCATTTTTTCCTATCACATTTAAAGTATATATATATGGAACAAAGAATGAATTGGCATATTTTAGTGTATAACTAAGTTAATGATTTAGCTATTTTTACTTTTTGTTTCATCTATCTGAATGCATATTAAATGGATTCATTTATCTCTATTTCGCCTGCTCTAACAGAAAAATGAGAATAATCAATGTTTCATGCTTAAATGTAGCATTACTTTTTAAGGTAAAAACAACAATCAACCACCCAAAAACTCATCATTAATTCGATTTGACTAATCGATCTTAATTATGTTCATAGCCAAGAAAGCAATAGCCAATATTTCTACTCAATTCTTGTTTGCGACTGAACCATTCTCTCTCTCACATTCCGAAAAAAGGCTCTATTTGGTTTCATCATGTAAAGAAAACTGCAAGTGTCTAGGAAGAATTTATCTTTTATCGGTTCAGTTTTCAACATTCAACTTATTCTATTTGTAAATTGAAAGTATGGATTATGACCTATTATTTAGTGTGATTTTAGTTATCTTTTTACACATAAAGTACGCGCAAAAATTACTAGGTTCATATGAATCTAGTATTTCATGATGCATTTGCCCATTCCTGCTTTGTCACCCTGAAACTCATGATTTTTGTCACCAAAGGTGACTCCATTCCCGAAGCTCAAATTTAAGGAAACTGATTAAGGATTAATAAATATTTGTTCTCTCCACATCTCTACCACAACGATTGATGATATCTTTGTAGTAGCTACTCTTTCTGTCACTATTGTTCCATAAAAAACCTAAATTTGTCTGCAATCGATAGTTTATATGTTTAAAGTTATATTAGACTTTTTATTTCTTTAACTAGGATGTCGCAAATGTTATCATATTTTACTAAAAATATTACGTATTATTTTGTAGATCGATGATCACAACTTTTAAGTATTTATATAATGTAATGTTTTTTCCATTAACTTAAATTGTCAATAATAATTCTAATATTTTTAATAATAATATAAATACTTATATTAAGTGAACATTAAGATGTGATATTCAGTCAACCCAATACCTTATAAAATGAGACTGGGGTAGTTTATAATTTTAATTTAAAAAACATTTAGTACAAGTGTAATGATTTTTTTTTTTGTACTAGGAAGAACCAACATTGTCATCATTATCATGATTGAGTGGTATGTGTGTAAAAGTCAAACTATATTTGATTAAAATATATTTTCTCTCTTATATCCACTTTTTATTTTAATTTGATTTAAAGAGACAAACAACAAATAAAAAAAGGACATAAATTACATTGTAATTGAAAATTTAAAGGTGATAAATAAATATTTAACAAAAGTTTGATTCCCTAATAATCTCATATAAGCTAGTAAATCTGAGTATTCCTTTATTTTAGTGATATTTGAAGATACTATGATATTTCTAGTAGACAAATTCTAGATACTATAATATTGGAAGATAAATAGGTCAATTAACGTATCAAATATTGAAATCATCCTTTTTATATGCTTGTAAAAATCTATATATAGCTAAATGAAAAACTATTGGAATATCAAAAATTCATTTGCTTTTAACATATGTTACTATAAGCTTCTTGCATCTACAAAAATGGCTCAGCATTCCAAATTGTCCTCCATTTTATTGCTTGCATTTGTCTACTTTATACATGACCACATGATTAGTACTATAACAGCACGTCGCATTCTACAAACTCCTAGTTTCTCAACGTCAACTATCCCTAGTTTCTCAACGCCCACTACCCCTAGTTTCTCCAATACCCCCGGTCTTTCAAAGCCCTCTACCTCAAGTTTCTCCAATTCTCCCAGTCTCTCAAAGCCTGAGTCCCCTAGTTTCTCAAAGCCCCAGACTCCTAGTTTCTCAAAACCTGAGACCCCTAGTTTCTCAAAGCCTGAAACACCTAGTTTCTCAAAGCCCAAAACTTCTAGTTTCTCAAATCCTGAGACTTCTACTTTTTCAAAGCCCCAGACCCCTAGTTTCTCAAAACGCGAGACTCCTAGTTTCTCAAAGCCTGAAGCACCTAGTTTCTCAAAGCCCAAAACTCCTAGTTACTCAAAACCACAAACTCCTAGTTTCTCAAAACCTGAGACTCCCACTTTTTCAAAGCCCGAGACCCCTAGTATCTCAAAATTCGAGACTCCTAGTTTCTCAAAGCCCGAAACATCTAGTTTCTCAAAGCCCGTAACTCCTAGTTTCTCAAAGCCCGAAATTCCTAGTTTCTCAAAACCCAAGACTCCTAGTTTCTCAAAGCCTGAAACTCCTAGTTTCCCAAAGCCTGAAACTTCGAGTTTCTCAAAACCCGAAACTACGAGTTTCACAAAAACTAAATCTCCTAGTTTCTCAAAACCTGAGACCCCTACTTTTTCAAAGTACGAAACTCCTATTTTCTCAAATCCCAAGAATCCTAGTTTTTCAAAGCCCAAAACTCCTAGTTTCTCAAAAACTGAAACTCCTAGTTTCTCAAAGCCTGAGACACCTAGTTTCTCAAAGCATGAGACTCCTAGTTTCTTAAAACCCGAAACTCCAAGTTTCTCAAAAACTGAAACTCCTAAGTTCTCAAAACCTGAGACCCCTACATTTTCAAAGCCCGAGACCCCTAGTTTTTCAAAACCTGAGACTCCTAGTTTCTCAAAGCCTGAAACCCCTAGTTTCTTAAAGCCCAAGACCCTTAGCTCCCAAAACACTGAGGCTACTTTCTCAAAACCCGATGCCCCTACTTTCTCAAAATATGATGCCCCTACTTTCTCAAAGCCCGAGACTTTAACTTTTTCGGAGCCCGAAACCCCTAGTTTTTCTAAGCCTGAGACACATAGTTCCCAAAAGCTTGAGACTCCTAATCTTTCTAAAACCGAGACTCCTACTTTTCTCAAAATGGGAGAACCCTAGTTTCTCAAAGCCTGAGACTCCTACTTCTTTGAAGACTGAAACCCCTACTTTAACAAAATCCGAAACTCCTTCTTTCTTAAAACCCGAGATCCCAAGTTTTTCAAAGCCAAATATCCCTAATTTCTTAGAATCGGAGACTCCTACTTTCTCAAAACCTAACACACCTAGTTCTCAAAAATTTGAGACTCCTAATTCTCCAAAGATCGAGGTCCCTGATTTTTCAAAACCTGAAACCCCTATTTTCCCTAAATCCGAGACACCAACTTTCTCAAATCCTAAGACTCTGAGTTCTTCAAAGTCTGAGACCCCAACTTTCCCAAAGCCTGAAATCGCAAGTTCTCGAAAGCTTGAGACCTCGAGTTCTCCAAAGCCCGAGACCCCTAGTTCTCTAAAGTCTGAGAGCCCTAGTTTCTCAAAGCCTGAGATGCCAAGTGCCCTAAAATCTGAGACTTCTAGTTTTTCAAAACCTAAGACTCCAATTTTTTCAAAGTCTGAGACTCCAAGTTCCCCAAAGTCTGAGACCCCTACTTTCTCAAAGTCAGAAATCCCAAATTCTCCAAACCTCGAGACCCCAAGTACCCCTAAGACTATGACCCCTAGCTTTTCAAAACCAACTCCTAGCTTCTCAATGATCGAGACTCCTAAATTTTCAAAGCCTGATACCCCAAGTTTCTCAAAGCCTGAGATCCCAAGTTCCTTGAAGCTTGAGGCTCCAAGTTCTCCATCATCCGAGACACCAAGTTTTTCAAAATCGGACACTCCCAGCTTCTCAAAGCCTGAGACTCCAAGTTCTCCAATGCCCGAGACCCCAAATTCCCCAAAGCCTGAGACCCATAGTTTCTTAAAGTCCAAGACTCCTAGTTTCTCAAAATCTGAGACTTTAAGTTCCCTAAAGCCCGAGACCCCTAGTTCTCCAAAGACAGACACCCCTAGTTTCTCAAAGCCCGAATTTTCTAGTTACTCAAAGCCTGAGACGCCAGGTTCCTCTAAGCCAGAGACTCCTAATTTATCAAAACCTGAGACACCAAGTTCTCTAAAGCCGAAGACTCCTACCTTCTCAAAGACCAAAACTCCAAGTTCTTCAAAATCCGAGGCTCCAAGTTTCTCAAACCCTGAGACCCCTATTTCTTTTAAGCCTGAGACTCCTAGATTCTCAAAGCCTGAGACTCCTAGTTCCCCAAAGCCCGAGACACCAATTTCTTCAAAGTTCGAGACTCCTAGCTCCCAAAATCCTAAGACTCCAAGTTCCCCAAAGATTGAGAATCTAAAGAACGAGACATCAAGTTCGCCAAAGTCTGAGATCCCAAGTTTTCCAAAATTTGAGACTATTAGTTTCTCAAAACCCGAGACTTCGAATTCTTCAAAACCTGAGTTTCCAACAACCCCAAAACATGAGACTCCTAGTGTCTCTATGCCTGAAATACCAAGTATCCCAAAGCGTGAGCTACCAACTACCCCAAAGCCCGAGCTCCAAACTTTTACAAAGCCTGAATTACCAGTTGTTTCAAATCCTGACATTCCAAGTGTGATAAAGACTTAAAATCCAAACTTTCTAAACCAAAAATTGTCCACTTCTCCATGAGTAACTTTGGTGTTATTCATATGTCATGACTTATGTTGGATAACAGACGAATTTGATCACGCATGAATGAGTTGACACTGGGTTGAATGCGCATAGATTCACTATTTGACTTGTTGGTATTTTGTGTGAATAAAAATGGGTATAATAATGGATGATATTATAATATCCACTTATTATCTACTCATAAATTGTACAAAATGGAAATTAGCTATCAAATAAAGTCAACCACTTCTTTTTCTTTAATTTTTTATTTAGATAAGCCAATTTACATTGCTTTTCACTTTGTTCGATGTTTATATTTCGCTAGTCAATATATTATATTTATTTCTCTCCTATTTAGAAGTGAGGCTTGGGTGGACTAACACAACTCAAGAAGTGATATCAAAAGTATGTCAAGTTGTATTATCTCTCCTATTTAGAAGTGGGAGTTGGATGGGACTAACACAACTCTAAGAAGTGATACCAGAAGTGTGTCAAATTGTACTATAATATCAAAAGCATTTTTTATTTTACCCTTATATATAAGAGGACAAACAACGGAACAAGAAATTGCACCAAAAGTAACATAAATGGTACCTTTGGTTTTGACCATTTTATTTCTTTTAGTTTCTTACTTAACCACCTGTATGCAGTCCTTTTCTTTGGCAGACAAGTATTACACCTTTAATTACTTATTTGTCTTTAACTTTGTGGAAAACAACTGGTTCTCTTTAATCACTTAGCAGTCCCAAAATATTGATCCAATTTTGTTCTAATTTGTTCCTTCTGCTTCTCTTCTCTCTGCAAAATTGATGCAATCTTTAACTCTATGTTGGTTCTCCTTCGGCGTTGGTTAGACAACTTTTCATCTTTTCCTGGATTAGGTTTTTCATTTTTGTTCAGCAGTTTATTTTCGCGACCTGTTACGATTTGAAATTTTTTGAATTTTACATTTATAAGGAGATTTAGGATTGTGAAATGGTTATTCAAAATTATTGCATGTGACTGTTTCACCAAATCTAGCTCATATTTTGTCTGAAAATTTCTTAAAGTTGAACTCACCAAATTTTGTTATAATTGTGCGAACATTGAGTGCTGGGGAAATAGTTGCTGATGCACTCATAAGTTCCTACTTTGTGGCATTGTTACGTATTAAGGTTCCACTATCATGTTGGAACGAGGATTGGACTTGTAGTCCTACACACTACTTGAAAGTAGTGACAGTGACAAAGTTATGTTATCACATAAAGAAAATGTTTATGTTATATCAATTCATATTTTTATAACATGCAAAAACTGATTCCTGACTATAATTTGCATGCTTAGGACATAGAAAGTACGATTGTGCTCCTTGCTCCTCTATTATGCTGTTGAAAGTTCAAAATTACTACAACACTTAATTTCAGATGAAGTATCTGTCAAGTTGCTTCCGATAAATCAGGACAAGATAGAATTCATAAAATCAATAATTCATTAATGACGATTTGAGATAAAAAATTAGAACATTCAAATATTGACAAAGATTGCTTATATATTGAAACAAAGTTTGCTTTTTGCAGTTGATGTGCATTTAGTTTCTCACTTGCGTTATTTTAACTATTTTACTACTAGTAAATTTACCTGCGCTTCGCGCGGGAATTTTATATCACAAAATTTATAAAGTAATAATTTAAATCTATCAGTCATTAAAACTAAAACACTATATTATCTTATATACAAGATTACACGATAACAAACATTAATAATGTAAAGGAAAATGAATCTTATTACATCTTATCTTTTTTTTTTGAGATAAGGGTAACTCATCCTATCATTTATCCGTAATAACATAAGTATAAATTAATGACTTTAAAAATACATACCAAGATCTGTAACATAAACAATGGTGTCAGTGAGCCACTCAACACGAACAAAATACACTAATATTTAGTTGATAAAGGTAACTTATCTTATCATTTATCCTTAATAACATAGGTAGAAATTAATGACTCTAAAATACATATCAAGATTTGTAACATAAGCAATGGTGTTGGTGAGCCACTCAACAGGAACTAAGTATACAAATATTTAGTTGTGAAAAATAAGAAGAAAAGAAGAAGAAAGGTTTAGAATTTTTGTTATTTTCAAATGAGAGGAAATCCCTCTATTTATAGACAACAAAGGGTCGCATGCAGAAATGTTTATTGTGTCTTATCGGAAAAGTTACAACTATTTAGAAAAGTTGCAACCCTTCGTAAAGGTCACAATCTTTCACAAAAGTCACAACTCTTCATTAAAGTTGCAACTTTTCACGAAAGTCGCAACTCTTTATTAAAGTCGCAACTCTTCATAAAAGTCACAACTTTCAGAAAAGTCATAACTTTACATAAAAGTCACTTTCCATAAAAGTCACAACTTTACATAAAAGTCGCATCTTTTCATGAAAGAGGAAGGTTAATTTAGGAAATAAATAAATTTAAAAAGGAATTTTTGTTTGTGGGAGCGCCACATAGGCGGACCCAAGATTTTTTTTTATATATGATATATATGATTTATGATTTATGGATATGAATATAGCTTGTTATCGTGAAGTACTGAAACTACTACTAATAGTTATTACTCAACAAATGTTCAACAGAACATTGAGTGTATTGTTATTGTGTATCACAGATTGATGAAAATGAACATGGTGTTTATGGATGAAAATGAATATGATGTGTATGGTATTTATCTCCACGTTGCTCTTGTGTAGAGGAAGATTACAATTCACAAAAATGTAAGTGGTGTGATTAAGCCCCGTAGAATTGAATCTGTTATAGAGACTTTCAAGTTCTAAAAGACTATCCGTACTTTGTTTTCAGATTTGAACAAAAAGCTCGATCAGGCCCTAAAGGTGAAATTTTTCAATCCATATAAATTGATGTTCTCTTCTTCTTTTTGTGTACTCGGATTACTGGTTAGAGAACCAAAAATGGAAATGGGCTACATAAATTTGTACCACAAAGAACAGTAGCTAAAATTAGCCAGCATGAATGTGTCGGAAAGAAACGATATACTTTACCAATTCAACTAATAAGATTCTCCCCACAAGTTCAAATAATCAACCAATCAAACTAATAAGATTCTCCCTAACAGTTTTTTCAACTATGACTGCTACATGGTAACTAAGAAGCTGTCATACACACCTAGAGTGACGTTCTTCTGCGCCATGACATTGCAAGTAAGCATATTGTGAAAAAATCAAACAAATTTTCAAATTGTTTGAGGTGAAAAATTTATCGTAGTATTATCGATTTCCTATTTAAAAAGTCTTATGCAAATGTTATGTAACAAAAAACTGGAGGTAAACGGGATCAGACACTTAAATTGTAATGCACATTAAGATATATATATATATATATATATATATATATATATATATATATAAGTAGCATATCCATTTTTAGGGTTGTTACAATAGGTTCTTTCAAAGATAAGTTTTCATGAAATTCAAATACTACGGTTTTTACTATAGAAAACGGATTTTCTTTGTAACTCTAGATTTATGTTTTTCAATGAAAAGTTAATGCTTTCTATGGTTGATTAAGCGCGAATTGTTGAGTATTTGAATTGTAGTTTTAGATTTTCATGTGAATCATGTTCTTATGTAAATGATGGGTTCACATGTTTGTTTCTACTACTTGATAGTATGATAACGTTGGGATTGGGGCTAAGAGTTGATTGAACTCTTAAATAACCCTTTTTCCTTATACTATGACTTAACAATTGATCTTGTATGTTACTCGAAGATTAGATGTTGGTTATACAATTGGATATTTCACTATGTTGTTGTTATGATTATTGTAAGTTCTTCAATAAGGTTCTTTGGAGCGAGAGGTAAGCCTTCTAAGTTCGTGATTACTCTATCTTGGTTCTGTTAGACCATAAATGATGTTACAATGCTATTGATTTATGTATGATGTTGCGATGTATATATGTTGGGCAATGAACATGTTGATTGTTAGATCATGACAAGAATAAGATAATGAAAATTATAATATTCTCTTCTATGCTTTCCACAAGTTGATTATTCTATATAAATCTTATACACGAAGGATTGCGAAGAAATGAAATTTTCATCTAATCCTTAAGAGCTCATGATCATGTTTATACAAGGAGTTAATCTCATATGACTTATGATAAGTTTATAATAAATGAAAACTTAAAGGTTAATAAAAAAGGGACTTAAACTTAGCACTGAGGGAACTAGATATGAGAGGTGTCTCTTCCCTAGTTTGAAGGTAGGTCACAATTACTATCATGAGATACAGGATACCATGTAATTTTGAACTATGGGTCTATGATACATCTCCTAGTTCATGAACTATGTCATCTTTTGTTCTACTTTTGCCGGTAGACTACTTTCTTTCAGTGTGGGATTTTATGATACCGAATTCTATGTTTAGCTCACATGGTCTTATGTCATTTAAGGTGTATGTATTCCCTCATGTAAAATGATAGAAAAGTAAATGGACGTTTACTAGGGTGCCTTGAGTTGTCTACTTAGTATAGGTAGGGGTATGTGACTCTACCTAGACATTGCACAAGTTGACTCTAAGGGAAGTCCTAGGAGATTATTCTTATGTAATATGATAAAATCAAAGATATATTGCTTATGATACTTGTTGTTACTCTTATATGAAGTTGGCTATGTTACTGAACATCTTACTGGTCTATTTTGCTTTATGAGGTGTTGACTACTTATATTACATGTTACATGAAGCAACACTTTACTTATGGTCTCCTATCTTATCAAATTGGTTGTGTGAGGATGTGGGGCTTCACATGACCATTGAACTCGTGGGTTGGGGATGTGATCATTGACAAGTGTTTTCTATTTTATGTGTATATGATGTTTTGAATATGAATTATTAACATTACTCTATAATAATATGTTACTGATTATGATCATGCTTTATGTTGATAGAATCCTTAACTGGTACATGTTCTATTGTATGGGC